TTAAAGATTAATGATCATGTGTACTGAAGATATTCACTTAAAACTATATATGTCTTCGGGATCATATTTGGATGTCACTTTCCAAAACAAAATTTATCCAAAACCCGTAGCTTTAAGGTGAGGTGGGTTTTACTGAATTATGGCCCTTTGTGAACTAACTGAAGGTATTTACTTAAATCTTGATTCAATGACCATTATTAGGACCATTACTCTGACATTGATTTTGACTGATTAATAATAGTGATTATTAGTCCTTTGTGAGCTCGGAAAACTCTTGGTCAAAGGAACTCCACTAAGGACCAAAAGACTAAAAAAATCAGAATTTCTTACATAGATCAGCTGGGGCACTAAAAACAGAAATATAAGCAAAAGATACTTAAGACATATACTCAGAAATAAATTAAAAATCATATTTTGTGTTTTCTTAGCCTGATTTGAGTGAACAGCGTTGTAATGCTTTTAAATTTTGGGTCATTTTCCACAATTAGAATAATTATTCTGGAAACACAGGGAGAGCGAATTATGTGAAATTCTGCATACAAGTTATTGAGCTAAACCTACATCTAATGGACATTTATCTCGAAAAATTATTTCCAGTCCTGTCATGCCAAATTACCCCAGTTGAGTCCTTTAATGCTTGATATGTAACATCAATTTTCAAAACAACCAAACAAATACAAAAGTGTATGTTTTCAGACCCTAATACTTGTTATGTGACCATAATATTGGAGGTCTCTATCCAAGTCCCGTAAAACTCTGGCATAAAATTGTGAATTTAGAAAATCTTTGGTGCAACATGGCTGATGTTTGGTCCTTTTTGACAGCATTTATGCAATTCCATTTTAATGTCCATCGCATTCAGTGCTTTCAACACTATTATTAAGTAAGCTATGCATAACTTTAACTTTAAGGCAGTATTGTATCCATTTTTAGCTCGACTTTTTTTAAAGAAAATAGAGGTATTGTTACAGTCACCCCGGCGTTGCCGTTGCCGAAACCATTACCGCTTTAAGTATACCAGACTAACCTTGACCTTCATTCATAAATGACCCTTAAATTCAAGGTCAAATGTCTAAATTTTGCTTGTGTGTTTGTTTTGTTAGCTCACCTGACCACAAAGTAGTCAAGGTGAGATATAGTGAGGTATATCGTGCGTCGTGCGTCGTCAACAATTGGGTTGTTAACACTCTAGCAGTCACAGTTTTGTCAGAATGTTTGTCTCAATAAAATAAAGGTCACGTTCGAATATGGATCATTTCGGGTCAAAAACTAGGTCGCAGGAGCAAAAAGAATAGAAACAGCTTGTTAACACTCTAGTGGCTGCAGTTTTGATTCAATTATTCTGGAAATTTGTCAGGAAGGTTGGTTTGATCATTTCTAAATCAAGTTGGAACATGGGACGCCTTTGGTTAAAAACTAGGTCACAGGAGGTAAAAATAGAAAAATCTTGTTGACACTCTAGTGGCTACTGTTTTGATCCACATATTCTGGAAATTGGTCTGAAATCTGTTTTGATGATTTCTAATTCAAGTTCGAATATGGGTTACCGGTAGTCAAAAACTAGGTCACGCTGCCCAAATATGGAAAAACCTTGTTAATACTCTAATTGTAACAGCTTTGACTAATTGTCATCAAACTTGGTCATGATGCTTATCTAGTTAATTACTTGGAGGAGTTCGAACATGGGTCATTTCTGATGTTATGATGTTAACCTAGGTCACAGGAGCTAAAAATAGAAAAAATCTTGTGAACTCTCTATTGGCTAGTGTTGTAATCCAAATATCCTGGAAATTGGTCTACAAGTTTGTGTTGGTGATTTCTAGGTCAAGTTCGAATATGGGTCACCTGGGGTCAAAAACTAGATCACACTGCCCAAATATGGATGAACCTAGGGGTCACATTTTTGACTCAATTGTCATCAAACTTGGTCAGAATGCTTGTCTCAGACATTGCTCGACTGAGGTTGATGGGTCAGGGGAGCGATCTTGTTTTTCTATTTTGCTGATTCTTGCTATTACTAACTTTGTTATTTTTAATGCACTTCAAACTTCAACATAATAATCTTTTAGAATAGACTTTCAAGTTAACCAGACAGTCATCAATGACCTTGACACTGAAGGTCAAATAATTGAAATTTTCATTATTTTTTTGCTGTAACTGGCTATAACATTGTTACCATTTAATGGATTACCGTTCTTTAGGATAAGGCCTTCATGTATATCAAACTCAAACTGGCCTTGGCTCATTTATGAACTTGAATTTGAAGGTTAAACTATTGAAATTTCACTGATTTTTACTATTATTGCCTTTTTCTTGGTAACTTTTAAATGGATTATCTTCATACTTTGACATAACAATCTTTTGTGCATGACTTTTTTAAAGGTTGAACTGACCTTGACCTATAAATGACATTGACCGTCAAGGTCAAATAATTGAATTTTGGTTGAATTATCATTAGTTTGTTACTAATTTACGGATTTAATTGTAACAAGAACAAAACAAGACTTGCTTCCAAACAAACATATTGATTAAATTATATGTGACCTTGACCTTTTATTGACCTTAACTGTCAAGGTAAAATTAATGAAATTATCTTGTTTTATTTCTGTAATCGGCTATAACTTTAATTATAAATGGATTTACTTCATGTTAAGACACATCATCTTTAAGGTCAGGATCATCATGTATACCAAACTCAAAATGACCTTGACTCTTGTATGACCTTGAAGGTAAAAAAAAAATATTTTCATTTTTTTTTGGCTTTAATTGGCTGAAACTTCGTAATTAATCAATGGAATATTTTCATACTTGGACAAACAACACTTGTGAACAAACAGACATATGGAATAATCTTGAACTTTAAATTACATTGTTAAATTTTTGAATTTTGATTATATTTTCTTAACTTTGTCATTAATTTATGGAAAGAATTCATACAACAAGTGTGACTAGACGGACCTATTTAAATTAAGAACGGTAAAACTTATTTATTTTTTTAAAGATGTGTTTTAAATGATTTATTTGTTTGCTCTTAGAAAAGTAATAAAAGTTGCGCATTGTCACCGACCAGCTGTGACTCTTGTTCTCTTTTAAATAACGTCAGGCAGAGTTAAATGATCACTTAAACATCTAACAATTAAACCTCATCCTCGACCAACTAAATCCCTTGTCTGTTGCCAGAAACACACTGTTTAAAAGGGAGTGAAATCCTGTATAAAGGACAATCCTGTTGCCACTTTAACATATAGGAAAATTATGTTGGTATATTAATCATATAGGAAAATTATGTTGGTATATTAATCATATAGGAAAATTATGTTGGTATATTAATCATATAGGACAATTATGTTAACACGTTAAACATACAGGGCAATCATGTTGACGCGTTCTACCTACGAGGAGAGTTCGAAAAATAATGCAAGATACTTTGTTTCTCAGCAACTGTTGGTAGTTTTACTGTTTTCTTTTGGTCTGCCCTTCGAAATATTCCCCACCTACCTAAACACAGCGTTTCAGAGGCTCGATCTATTTTTTGAAGCAGTTCTCGTACTCTTCAACAGGTAGACGTAGTTTTGGAAAGAGGAAATAATGGCAAGGGGCTGGAGAGTATGTTGGTGAGGGAGGACTTTAACCTTTTCCGATTCCAAAAACTCAGTCACGATGCGTGCCTTATGCGCTTGAGCGTTATCATGCAGGAATATGAGGTGCTTGAGTCCTGTTTTGGAGCGTCGGATTTGGTAGATCTTCTTCAATTTTCTTGCTGTTACAGTTTTCCCATTGGCACAGGAGTTTGCAGCATTGGACCCTTACTATTAAAGAAAATAACATACATAATCTTCTTTGTCAGCAAATGAGGTATCCATCGTGCATTGATTTTCTTAAGTTTCAGGTGCTTCTTTAAAATGTAATGAACTTGTGAACCGGACTAATTGTCTCACGATAAATATGGAATCTTTTTTTTAGCAAATCACTGATTTTTTTATGTTACATTTGGTCGTTGTTGTACACAATCAAATGGGCAGACAGCTGTTCCAGCGTCGACAGCTGTACCAGTATATACATGTTGGCGCGGGAAATACAATTGACGTACGATAAGTATTCATCTATTTTTAACATATCCAAACTGTGTTCGAGTAAATCAATGTTATGGATTCAAAGTAAACATCAATTGTATTTCCCGTGCCGACATGTATATACTGGTACAGCTGTTGACGCTGGAACAGCTGTCTGCCCATTTGATTGTACGTAGTGTTGTTGCAGGACGACCAGGGCGAACAGCATCTTTTAAGTTGCTGCAGCCCGCTCTTAAATTTTGGAATTCACCTGTAAACCGTGCTGAAAGACATTTGATTCTCCCCATGGATATCGCACACCTCTCTGTGAATATCTGTAGCTTACAAGCCAAGTATCGACCTACCTTTTATATAGGCCCTAATTTCGGGCACATTTTCAGCTCTTTTCCAGGCATTTTGTATGCAGTCTTATGAGTAGGCTTTGGAATAACGTGTACTGCACAGAGGTCAGTGAAGTTATGTTACGCACAAGTGGTTACTGTATCAACACGTGGTTGCTTTAAATTATCATGGTTTTCAAGCTTTGCGCCAGATAAAGTTGAACACTTGCATTATTTTTTCGAACGCCCCTCGTATAGGACAATCATGATGACACATTAAACATACACTGTATAGGACAATTCTATTGACACATTTTACATATAGGATAATCCTGTTGACATGTTAAACATAGAGGACAATTCTGTTGAACAGGTTAAACATAGAACAAATCTTTTCGACAGGTTAAACATTAAGATAATCCTGTTGTCATGTTAAACATATAGGACATTCATGAATGTTTCTTGTTGAACTAGCTCATTTTGGCAGAGAGCCGCGATGGTGAATATTTGTTAACCAGGTAGCAAAACAACTTTGTGTATAAAGTTAAGTACAAAAATATCAAAATTCTGAAATATTGATGAAAGTTTCTATGTTTAAAACAAGATATAACATTGACAATTAATTTATTGTTCATAAAATAATATAATGACCACATGATATGAAATATGACAATAATGAGAAAAAGACTTGAAATACAATCAGATTAGAGGGCGGGCCCACATAATGAATACAGAAATTAAGTAAGATTGACAGCACTTTAAACAACATAAACAAAATAATATACTCAGCATGAGAGTTATTGATATATTATTTGTAATACAGAAATTACTATATGTATATGTAACAATGGCTGAAACTAATAAAGTTACCTACTTTAAACAATAATACTACAGCTCTAAGAGAAAAGGCAGTAAAATGAATGCAAAAAGAGGCGTATGACAAATGTATAGTCTGTAGCACTGCAACAACGAATATAACCACTGTAGCACTATAAACAACAAAATAATATTACATCAGTTTCATAGAAACAATGTTATAAGTAGTTTTATAAGTCCTCTACTATAAAACAGTATACTATGCTTTTTTATCATGACTTTAATTTTTTTACCGTTAAAAACAGACATAACACAATGCAACACATAATGCACCTGACAACAAACAAATTATCATTTTAAAGCACATTTACTACATGCATATTGTTTATAACATACCCTGTTGTATTTGTGGAAAGGTCTAGCTTGATACTTTGGAATTAAGCAAATTACCATAACTAATAAATCCCCCACACTTTTGCAAAGAAACCTGAATTACCAAGTAAGTAAGCACAAATTTTATAACAGCTGATTCTTCCAGCACATAATCCAACAGAAAATAGCACAAAAAACATTCTAACTAATTGTAAATCGTTAATTTTTTTGTACTATAATCAACTTAGACACCTGTTTTGGAGATTTATTACCTGCAGGGGCGTTTATTACAGAATATACTGTAAGCAATCAACAGTGAAGAGCCTGGACAGATTTCACATATTAAAACTAGGCCTTGCTCTTTAATGGTGACATAGGCCTGTTATAATTGTTAACATTTAAAGAGCCAAAGCAGAAAAATGTACATTTAAAAAACTTAAACAATATAGAGTTGACTTAGAAAAATAATTACTCTGTGTGAAATATTGTACATGGCCTTATGGAGTAATGCATGATTTAAGTCTAAAAATAATTTATACTGTACTTATCATAGTATCTATGGCTTTTTACCTTTTCTTTAATATCGAGAAAAAAAACTTCATTTGTAACTACAGTAATCAATAAGCTTTAAACTACTTCAAATAAACAAAATAATGTCTGAAAGGAACAAAAATATATTTCACAAAAACAATTGGTCCTCTATGACAATTTATACATAATGTACTATATGAGTACTAAACACGATCTCTATGGTAACCCTGGTTTCAATGCTACGATCAAACTGTAACAGCTCAATAAAACTGTAACAGCTCAATAAAACTGTAACGGCTCACTCAAACTGTAACGACTCACTCAAACTGTAACGGCTCACTCAAACTGTAACGGCTCACTCAAAATGTTAACGCTTGAACAAACTGTAACAGCTTCGGTAATTTTTGAGAGTTCCAATCGTTGTGAGACAGTAGTGGAATGATAATCATTGTTGAACATGTAACATCTTCATCATCTTAACTTGCTTACACATTAAAGCAGCATGCCTCCCAGTCGGTGTTAATTTGTATGAAAACTTGGAAAAATTGGTTTGTGTACAAATTAAGTTCTTTATTCTAGCCTATGGCAATATTTAGCCACAGAAATTACCTATAACATGCTAAAACATGCAGAAATATCTATTACTTGGCTATTAGTTATGGCACATAATTTGGGTGATTAAAGTAGTAAATTCTGTCATATTTTCACAGTTTTATCTAGAGTGAATGTTTATACCCATCTTTTATGGATACATTTTGCATTACAGAAATATGTTTTTTGGAAGATTATTTCACTCATCTGGAGGCACGTTGCTTTACAGACTCATCATACATCATTGGAATAGGCAAGGTTCTTTCAAACTTCAAGCTTTACAAGCATAAATGGTTCACCACCAGTTTACTCAGTTTTCATGAAATCATTTCTATCAAATAACACACACTGTATTTGTTTATTGTACACTAGAAACTGCTTAACCTCTTCTAGAATATCAATATAAACAGTCCCTGTATTGGAAAGAATGTATTCAAAGTAAACTGTCTGTAGTCCAAGAAAAAATGTGTCTATTTGTTGAACTAGCAATGCAGGTAAACTGTGTTCAATTATTTCCGATTCAATTCATCCAATAACCAGAACATCATCATCAGTGGCTGTATCATTGTCGCCCATCTTTTTCATCTTTTTAGAAGGTGTTTCCTCGGATACATCGTCAAGTTTTCGTTTCTTTGCGGCGGGAACTTCCTGAGGTTCATCATCAACTATCATCAGATCGTCTTCTTCTTCCACTTCTAAAACAAAAACAATCTCTACAATTATTAACTTTTCTATTAGTTTGATTTTTTCATTGAACAGTTTTAAGTCACTATGGAGTCATGCGACTGCTTTCAGGGGGGGGGGGGGGGGGAGAGGAAATCGGAAACCAACTGTCTCTCCTTACATGAGCTAATACAGAGAGACACTGCATTTAGGTTACATGAATAATAACAGACTGAACTTAAATCTTGTCATAATTCAAAAAGTCATTCACCATCATATACTAATGTAATTTGAAATAAAATGCAAATTATGCAATATGCTATCAATATGCATAAAAAAAAAGAAATCACATTCCATTTATATGCAAAAAATAGAAATAAAATTTCATAATCCCTAAATCATGTAAATAGTACAGAAATCATTCCTCCTTCATCAATATTTTTCTCTTACACTTTACAATAATGTGAGACAAAGAGTTTCAATATGGACAAATCAAATAATTTTACAAATGGGACAACCAACATTCACTATAAAAAAATGTTCATCTGTAAACAAAGCAAAACAAAATCTGACCTGTATTTGAGGTACCAGCATGTCCGTTGTTTGTTGTAGTTTCACCCTGATCTTTAGCATTTTCAGCCTCAATTTTTGCTTGTAATTCATCCAAATCTCCGACTATAGCAAACATTTGATCATCCTCTAGCTTCTCCCTAAATTTAAAAACATTCTAACATTTAACCAAAACTGGCAGGCTTTTAATAATCATTTTGCTGTCTAAATTGCTTTAAAAATGCACCTATGTGGTCTTTCTTTGCAGATAGTCTTTTAAACAGGTTAAAGTCAACTTCCATTTTTTTTCCAAGTTTTTTTTATTCTGCCTTTCTTTTAGTCATTACCTAAATTGTTTATATTTTAACTTAATACTACAACTGTAATAGTGAAGTGTGTTTACATTTTTCATTTATATTTTTTTTTTTTATTTTTTTTTAATTTTCTTTCGAAAATTAACATATGTTTACTTAACATTATTAAATTGTTTTAGTAAACAAATTTGTCAATATCCATTGATTGGAAAGTAAAATCATTAGTGTTTTATGAGGTGAATGGGGTAATGTGGTAATTTCACAATGAGTGTTATATATCAGAACCCCATATAACGAAGTGTTTAGACCTTGGACGTAAACATGACCATTATAATGGAGTTGCAGTGTATATGATATCATATAGAATAGCACCTGCAAAAATTGAAGCACTTTATATTTCTACAATACATATAGCAGTATTTTATATTACACCCATGCTATCATATCTGCATTCCAGTGTTTTTTGTGGGAGAAAAACTATCTATTTTGATTACCCTCGTATCATTCAGGCCACCCAGAGTAGGATCATGGGATATGCATGGCTTGGAAAATATCCTTTTTTATGAAAATAGTGATTAAATAAAACTAAATTTGTAATATTAAACATCATATATTAAAGGACTTACTTGTGGACAATGATAACATTAAGGTTGTAATTTTGTAGGAAATCATCACATTTCAACACACTTTTGTTCTGTATACCAAAATCACTCAATAGTTTGTCATTATTTTCTGAAAATTTAAATATGAATATATTGTTATGCATGAATAAGATAGATAAAGTAAAATAAAATCTCTTTACCCACACTTATGTTGGGATTTGGAAAATTATGTCTTTGTTAACAAGTGTTCCCTTACAGAAGGCATTTTTGACTAATAAGTTACCGTTTATGAAAATGATTAACAGAAGAGAGGTTTTGGAAATCTTAGCACAAGGGTGATCTGTTCCATTGAGATAGAGACTGTTTAGTAATTTTTATGTGTTTTTTATCTATGCAGTAAATAAGAAATTGCATTAGCAGATTAATTGTTAAATTAGTCAGACACTGCTTCAATCATATATGACAATTTGTTGACAAGCTGAGAATGATTTTAGAACAGAACAGAACTTCAATTAGCTTTAACATAGAAATGAAGTTCGTAAATTAATTAGATGTCAACTATTGTAAGAGTTTCTTGTCCCCTGAGAGATGCAAACCTATATAAATGGTGGGCAAATTAGATTTTAAGCCACAATAAGAGTCACATAGTGACTAAGCTGAATGGAGGAAACCCAAGCTTCCCTTCCATATATAATATAATAGTTGAAACATGGCATTTTTATTAGGAAATGACTTAATTCAACAATAGCATACAAATGCCCAATTACTGTACATGTAATTAAATCCACAATAAAATGAATGCCCAATTAGTGAAACTTCCAATTAAAATAAATACCTTCAGTTTCACCTTCTTCACTGGAGATAATAATTGTTCCTGGAAATATAATTTATATTTTAGAATTACCTTATCTATTGATAACGGTGCTACATGATTATCTGAGGTATCAGTCGTTGAATAAAGGTGCTGTCAGACACAGTTATTGATCGTGAATGAAGAACAAATAGGTAACAATATACATGTATAATAATAATAAAATATTTCCAATAGGGAAGTATCCAAAGTCCCTGACAGGATTTAAACCCACAAGTGTTTTCAAATCAACAACCATAACCACTACAGATAAATCATTTCAGAAAGAGATAGAGGGCTTTGTTTTGATTGGGTTTTACATCACACCGACACAGTATTGGTCATTTGGCGACATTCCAGCTTTACTGGTAAAGGATGACCTCAAGTGCTCCTCTGTGCATTATTTCAGGCATGAACGGGCACCTGAGTAGAACCACCGACGTTCCATAAGCTAGCTGGATAGCTTTCTCACATGACAGAATCCAAAGTCCCTGTCGGGATTCGAACCCACAGTGGTGACGGGCAAGTGGTTTGAAGTCCATGAACTTAACCATTGGCCACGGACGCCCCACCCGAGATGTAGGGAAAATTGTAACAAACATATTGTCAACAATCATATTATCGCCAAAGAAATAAGCTGAGCTTGACCTATTACTGCTGTTAAACCTGTACATGAATTGTTCATCAAAGATACTCTCCCTACTAAGTATTTTGTTTAAAATGTTGTTTTTTTTGATAATCAAACAAACATGACTGTATAACATACCTTTACCATCATCTACTTCTACATCAGGAGCTACCATCCCTAAACCTCCCTTTAATACCTGTCAAATATACAATAAAAACATTTTGTATCTTATTATACCAATGTTTAACATGCAAATTGATATTATCACAAAATCGGGTATTCAGCTAATACTACATATTGTAGCATTCACCAATCTTATAACAAATTTTGCTTTTGAAATATTCTGTTCCAGACAAGGCAAAAGTAAACTTCAGTTATAATTTTTACCAATCCCTTAAATATTTTTTTAGGTCACTAGCATTCATCAATTTATAACATGATTCCGTGTGGAAACATTCTGTTTCAGACAAGGCCGAAGTAAACTAAGAGGTTTCAGTAATATGACCAACCTTCTTGTTTTTAATTTTACCCACCCCTTAAATATTTTTTGTGGTAAAAACATAAAATAGTCAGCATTCAAGTAAGTCAACCACATAAAAAGCCTCAAGATTACATTTATATTATTAAACATCTGAACTTTAAACGTGCATTTTTCTACACCAATGCACTCTTAATTAATATTAATCTCCCAAATATGTAACTGTTATATTACTCTGAAAACTAGGGAAATCATGTGATGATTAGTTAGTGGTTTTTATATAAATTTTATCACATTTTAATCCAACATCAGCAATCGCTTCACCTATATGGTTGCCCAGGATAACTAACTAGTAATTACAAATTTCTCTGCAAGTGATCAACTACTTATCCTACATGATTTTTGAAACAGTGTTGAGAGACAAATGACCATTAGACTCAATGTCTGAAATCAATTGTCATGAAGAAATTTTGCTTCCATGGAAGATCAAACAGGTGGCCCCTGGCCAACAAATCACATACTCTTCCTATTGAATTATGTGGACAAACCTTAATTATATGATAAAAAGATATATTTTTTATAACAGTGAATAAACTCTCCATATTTATTACCTGGTCGTCAAGCTGTTTGATTGTCATTTTTTGTGTATTCAGCATCACCGTAACTTCGTGTTTTGGGGCGCAAACATAACATTTTGGATTTGGTTTGTCTAGAGCACATGGCACAAGTAACTTCTTTCGTGGATTTGGCTGTCTGTTTAAATATACCTGAAAATCAGGAGTTTTAATTTTGAACTTCAATATTTCTTTATAATTGATTTTAATATGTGCCAAACATTTCTTGGTGATATTTTTCTTAAAAGGCATTAAAATGTCAATAACAGATAGCTAAAGAAAAGCAAAAAACAACAGAACAAGATGGCTATGATAGCCCTGAATTGCTCACCTGACATTTCAAAAAGATATCCAATCAAGATTGCTCGGACAGACAGCCGAACAGTGACTGATCACAATAACCCTTGGCAACTTTGCGCTTTGGTGGGCTTATAAAAGAACATACCACTACATCTAATGATTATATAGTAATGTAAGTATAAATGAACTTTAGAATAGACTGTTTGGTAAAATTTGGTTTGAGTCACCCTGCACTCTACATGCAAAAAATAAACTGATACAATGTAAAGATAAGACCATTCAACATAATTATATTATAAAGTACTCACAGCTTTACAAGTGTCAATATTTCCACTGAGTATTTTAAGAGATTCCATGACAATTACAGCCGCTATGATTGCGTTGGTCGTTGCTATTGCAGGTATTATGTTCCCAGCCATTGCTGAAATATACAAAACATATACTAGCTTGCTTGAATGGAACAGAAAGAGTACCTTCTTACCCTCACAGTAGATGTCAGGGGGGTATGCAAATAATTAAAAACTTATTGAAAATAAAAGCTTTGCAAATTAGCTTTTATACAGATACTGAAAATAATTAATTCAAATCACCTTTGCTGACTATTTTAATGAAAGTAACTTAAAATATCAATGAAGAAGCAGAATAATAGAAATCATTTTTACTAAAGTCAAGCCTAAGGGTAATGGTGGTTGAGGTGTCTGCCTCTCAACCAATGGGTTGTATGTCACAGCCCTTCTCAGGTCATGACCATTATTTCCTCACATGACACCAGTACTTGTTAGTTTCAAGAAGCAGACTAAAGGGAAGTCCAAAGAAGCTAAATGTTTTCTTCACAACATGGCTAAAAGATAATTATTTCCCTTAAGACTTAAAGCCAATTTGTCAAAAACAGTCTTAGACTACAAAAAGACAAGCAAGCCTAATTTTGGTATATTATACCTAGTATCCTTTATACTTGTACTTACATTTGATATCAAATCTAGTTTTTTCTGCTATACCAAATATATGTGCTCGTATATTGGCCGCACTTGCTACAAAATCCATCCCCGCATCATCATCCTTGAATTGTAAAAAATAATTTCTTAATTATAAAAATTAATGCTGATGTTACAAAATCATGAAAATAAAGCAAATTCACAGCTTTTAGATAATCTACAATTACATCTGTTATACTTTTGAGTATACACAAGAAATTTACTTACAATTATATGTGCTTGCATTAAAGATCAGCTATTAGTTTTGCAAAGTCTAGAAATCTCAAGAATTAAAAATAAAATAGTCAAAAATTGGTGTGCTTATAAATAAGCACAATAATTATTATAGTTATTATATATTATTACTATTATTATAGTTAATAATATGTAACATTTACTTCATAATCATAATAATAAACTGTTAGTAATGATCAAAAAATGTTTTTCTCCATATCAACGTATGTAAACTCGCTCAGTAAACTTGAGGATAATTACCTTATCCCAGACTAGCATTCCACCGTCCCCTTGTTTAGCGAGATCTGTTTTAAGGGTATCTATACTCCTAGCAAATATATCCGCACATTGTTGTAGTGACCAGTGTCTTTGATCTGATATTGTGCCCTGATCATCTTGTTTCTCGGCTGTTAATAAAACATTGTCATTGAAAAGTTATTTTCATCTGGCTTCAATTATGTTACTGACAGTGCTCATATGTGAAATCATAATTTGTATTTATTAACTTTATTTATAAATCATACTTATCTTAGAAAAAGTCTTGAAAAAAATTATTATATAAGACATTCTGTAGAAGACAAACATGTAAATTTGGCCCTCTCTCTCTCTCTTTCCAGCTTGATTATCTAACATTTATAAACATCAATAAACTTTCTAACCTCAGCAACATAACGCAATTAGTTATAAAACCATCGAACTTTGTTCTTAATAACTGACTTTTTTCCCTCCTATATAACCAGTACCTCCCATATTCTATCGCAACAATTTTCTTCTATATAACCAGTACCTCCCATATTCTATCATAACAATTTTCTCCTATATAACCATTAACTCCCATATTCTATTATCACAATCAAATATATTACCTGTATGTGAGAGATTGTTCCAGTCCAGTGGTAATGGAGGTCGTCTTTTCTTCCACAATGCTTCCATTGATAATAAATATTTTATATCATCTCTAAACATCTGAAAATATAAATTTATCATATATCATCTGTTAAACACATCAATTTAATTGATTAACATACTGTACTGTATTTGTCTGTTTCATGTTAATAGCAATTTATATATGAGCCGCGTCACGACAAAACCAACATAATGGGTTTGCGACCAGCATGGATCCAGACCAGACTGCGCATCCTCTTACAGACCCTATAACAAGTAAAGAAACTGATAGCGCAAACCCATTACGTTGGTTTTGTCATGATGCGGCTCATATATTGTTAGGAGACACAGTCGGCCACACGAGGTCTTCCTCCATTAGTAAAGATGGAAACTCTATATATTACGTTAACACAGTTGATATCAAAAATATATATAACCTGATGAGGGGTGTATCTTATCCGAAATCACAAGTTACAAGAGCTGTCCGTAAGACAGCGCGCTCGACTTTTTTATTGCTTGCCAATAAAAAAAGTTTTTGCAGTAAAAGGCAATACAAGAATCTCTGTATTTTTAAAGTGAACTAGTTGTTTGATACCCTTGAATATTACAGCAATGTTTATATGACATAATTTATGGTAAAGTGAACAAGTGGATAGGAATGAATTTTTTTAGATTTTTTAAGTTTTTTAGTGCTTGCCTATAATACAAAACATTGACAGTTAAGGGCCATAATTCAAATAAAATCTTTGACAGAATTACCTTCTCCTGGACATGTTTGGGAATCATGATTGTAAACAAGTATTCCAACTTTCAAATTAATATCTCAAACAGTTCAGTCAAAAAGTGGACTGGTACTAAAAACTTAACCAAGATTCTAAGTCGATAAAAGGCCTTAATTTTTAAAACAAATCCTTGACAGAGTTACCTTCTCTTGCGTACAGATGGGGGTAATGATGTGAAATAGCATTAAAAGTTTCAAAGCAATATCTCAAAGGTTAAGGCAATAAGTGGATTTTACCCATATTCAATGTATTTTCTAAGTCAAAAAGGGGCATAATTCTGTCAAAAACCTTGACAGAGTTATGTCCTCTTGTCTGTTGATGAAGGTCGTGATGGTAAACAAGTATGGTCAGTTTCAAAGCAATACCTCCAATGGTTTTGAAATAAAGTGAGGTGGTACAAAAAACTTAACCAAGCTCAATACACTTTTTAAGTCAAAAAAGGGCCATAATTCTGTCAAAAACCTTGACAGAGTTATGTACTCTTGTCTGTAGATGGAGGTTATGATGGTGAACAAGTATGGTAAGTTTCAAAGCCATACTTGTAATACTTCTGAAATAAAGTGGGGTGGTACGAAAAACTTAACCAAGGTGTGACGCCAACGCCGACGCCGACGCCGGGGCGAGTAGGATAGCTCCCCTTTTCATAGAAAAGTCGAGCTAAAAATGAATATATATTCATGTGTTGTTCCCCCCTCAAATCCTTTGAACTTATAGTGCATATATAAAATTTCTAAGATACATGTAATTACATAAATTATATTTAAAGAAAAGTGTACCTGGTTGAAATGAAATAAATCTGGCATGAATTTTGCTTCACTTAATTATTCATAATTTTTACTTTAGGTGTATTTCAAATTACATAACATTTTAGTTAGTAAAGTTTATATTGCAAAACAAAAAATATACATTATACAACACAGAGAGAAAAGAAATGCTGAAAATGACAATTTTAACCTTACTTTATGAAAGAGTTTTTCTGGATCATATCCTATATCTTGTGCCCAGCCTCGTGTAGATTTTCTCTCTATACCTCCAGTTACATCTTTCTTCGCATCGGAATCTAGAGCTGTCTGTCCAGCTTCACCTATTTCATCAAATATTCCTCATGAAATTAATATATAACATCATATGGATGTTGTATTTTGTTTTGGAAGTGCAGCATTTCAATCACAATATGGTAGGCTGACATTGAAAGAGTACTTTTTTGTTCTGTAACAAAACTATGTAATAACACTCAATATCTCAACATAACTCAGTTTAATGAGACCGATAGATAAATTTATTGGAATATACAAAGTCTAAAATAAACATTACAGATTTCTAAGACCAGTCTAAAAGAATGTGAGTTTTTTTCATTGGTCAATTTTTATTATAAACTTTAAAACAGCCAATCATTAAATCAACTTACCTGCAGACTGGTCTCCAATCTTAACTTTTAAGATTTTTGCTTTCAGTTAAAGAAGATATTTAATTGTCAGATATAGAAAACTAAAACTACAGTTAAGAAAACAAACTGACGGTAAGTATACCAGTAAGTTCTGGATCTGCCGTGTCTGGTGATACATCCTGATCCGGATCTTCTTCTCCAAACAACTGACTGAAACAATTATACCATAAAAAGTTGATAATACAAAGTGTTTGATAAACAATAAAAGCATGAAAAGGAATTAATATATGAGTTTTGCTTGTTTTCTAATCCATATATATTGTGATGTAAATGATACATGCTAGAAAAAAAATATGTTTAAACTAAATAAAATATGCTTAACTTAAAAAGCATAGCAAAATTTTGATGAGAATCGGTGACAAAAATATTTAAGTTGTTCAGATTTAAGCCATTGCATTTTCAGTATTTGTCATTTACTTTCATACAGTTAAAGACCCTAGATGTCTATCAGACTATTTGTACATTATTTCTGGATTAAAACAGTTATGAAAATAATAATAGCTTCTGTATGGAAATAAACTAGTAAAATCAGGTGATTTCCTCAATAGAAAGAATTTTACATTCCAGAATGTGATTCTAAGTGGCAGATACAAAGTAAGTAATTATAAGCCAATGATCACGACCAGTAAGCCAGTGAGGCCTGACAGCATAGAATGCTATCATGATGTTGTTATCCTAAACTAATTCACACAGGTATAAGTCTAAGAACAAACAATACATTGTGAACAAAATAAATCTGCCCCTCAAGTTAACTACTGATATTTCAAGAAAGGAACTTAGATTACTTGAAGAGATGTTTTGCCCAGACAACACAATGTATGGGCTCTGATGGGGTGTTTCTAATGGTACATCCAGGGAATGTCTTCTGTGTGGGTTTAGGTATACATTCATAACATTCTGTAAGACCCTGTCAAATTATATATATACATAGTATTATATACTGCTTTAATATATCAATTGGGAATGTCTTTTTAAGCATTACAGAATATAATATTTTTTACATCTTCTCCATGGTACTAAATATGCAAATTATAGAAGAATAGCAGGCCATATTACTTGATGAGTACATATTTTCGGAAGATTCAGTAATTTTTTAGTCTAAAAGAGATAGTTGTACCCTAATCAAGCACATATAAGCATATATTCCTTAAGCATTCCTTTATCAAGAAACAGTAACAAAAGCAAACAATGTGAAATTTGTAAACATACCATCTATATCATCCTATTTTTCTTATTCTGTTAGTTTCATTTACAAAGGAAAGTCAAGCAGCAAAAAATATAAATCACGGCTTTAAGATAAAAGATAAAACACCAACCTTTTTGATGACCGTAACTTGACCTAGATATCCTGCCGTACCGCTCTCAATCAAAGGACGATCTGCTGCTAAACACATACGATTTACATGATTTCTTGCAGCTGTAATATTATATATAATCAAACTATAAATTTCCACTTTCTGTTATTATTTACAAGAACAAAAAATATTTCATACAACTTTATATTACCTAGAATACATACAGTTTAAACATATATTTTTATAATGATTTTGTATTTTCAGAATTTTTTTTCCATTGTTACAAATAGTGACTAAAATACTTGAAAACAACAAACTGAGTTTCGTAGAATTAAAAAAAAAATCTTTCATCAAATTTCTATAAAAGATATAATAAAGATTCAATTTCTGGTAGACAAAAATACCAGATAATATCTGCACAAACAGGTAAATAATGTTATTAAAACATTAAAAAGTTCTATTACATTCTTAACCCTTAGCCTGCTGGTGACAACTGAATCTACCTATGTGACCAGTGCAGACCAAAATCAGCTTCATCTAACCAAGGTCTGACCTGTCCACTACTCAGTCAGTACATACTTTGAAATTTGCCCCTAATAAATGATGAATATTCTTGTCCAGACCGAAAGAGGGTCAACTCCATTAAAGATATTTAGTTAAGCAAGGGTTAAAATTATATTTAATGTGGGACGGGTATAAAATATAACAAAGAAAATATCAAGATATCTTATAATCCAATTTGTTACCTCTGTTGTCTAAAGCATTCATGACAATATCAAACTTCTGGAAGAAATCGATGCCATAGTCAGAAGTCATCACACTGTCATGATATGCCACAATGTTAGCATCAGGGTTGAACCTTAATGCACTTTCCTTAGCAACCTGTCAAATAAAGGAGCAAAATAATGAAGTCATGTACAGACTAGATGTCGAAGTACAATGTACATGTACGTCTATTTTCTAAAAAAAATAAACTGGCAATGTCACATTGCCATTCATTACAAAATAATGAGATCATCTAAGACTAAATGTATATCAAGGTACAATTTTGCACAGGCTCTCGAATTCGAGTGAACAAAGTTTGAAGACTGATTTCCTTGACAAAATAAATTTATATTTCCCATACATTCCTTACAGGGACTGTTAATTTTCAGAAAGGACTTCTTGAATCTTCACAGAAAACATGGTTAAAAAGTTAGTGCTGAATGTTGTATAAGCATATTAAATATATATTGTAAAGACACATTTGTGACATACAAAATAAACTCAGAATGAAAGCTTTACAAATGTATTGTAAACTTTTCTTCTATAACAAATCTGTTTACTTTTATATCATTGTTTAGGCATTAAATAAAGTTTCATCTTGTAACATGCTCCAAAATGTATAAAAAAATAATTTTGTAAGACTTTAAGTCACACCCACACATATCATATGTGTGGGTGTGACTTAAAGTCTTACAAAATTATTTTTTTATATGATATGGAGCCTTTCCAGCTTTACTGATGAAGGTAGACCTAATGTGCATCTTCTGTGCATTATTTTAGGCATGAGGGGGCACCTGAGTAGAACCACCGATGTTCTGTGAGCTAGTTGAATACATGTAGCTTCCTGAATCCTCATATGCAAGAACCCAATGTATCTGACAAGATTTGAACCCACAGTGGTGAGGTGCAAGTTATTTGAAGTTGGCGACCATAACCACTTGGCCATGAAGGCCTTATAAAATTATAAAAGCTGGCAAAATTCTGTCAATTTACCTGTGATTTTGATTTTCCAACATGTTCCTTTCTGAACAGAAACTGTCTGTTTAAATTACTCACATCAATTGTATCCAAGTCAATCTGAAACCAAAAACAGAAATACAAGCTGATATTAGCGCATTATCTCATATTCTAACACACTTCACATTATTCCCCATTCAAATAGATAAAACAGACCAGTACATTATCACACATTATATGCATGGAATGAAAAAAGGAATGTTTACATGTCAGATGACGTCTGACAAAACCTTAATAAACCAGATGATGTCAGGAAAATTACTTCTACAGTCAATGCAGCATTTTTCATGCATTGTAGTATAATAATGCACAGTACTGTACAAATGCTTTGTAATAAATCACTTGGGCCTATTAGTCTCTGTGACTAGATTTCTGTTAATTTAACTCCAACCATGCATTTTTCTACAGCAAAACAGTCAATTGTTTGGTATCTATTTTCTAAATACAAGGTTTATACACAACTGTTTTACCTTATATAGCTTTTTGATACACAAAATGTGACTTAAAGTGGATTTACTTAAACAATGTGGTGAGAAAAAGGCTTTGTTGCTAATGGTAAGTGATTTTGGGTGTTTTTTTGTTTTTGTATTTTTTTGGCTTTTTCTTTCAAGAGTGGGTGGTAGGTTATGAAAATGAATAATTAAAAATTCCATTTGTAATAACAATGATATCATAACTGGTATAATATCTTAACAGTAAATATCATCTAACAGAAAAAAGCATGTCCCCTTACAAAATCACCATTACTGACCATGTGAATCAATGTGTCTGCCAATACATTGAACAATGATGTGTCCATAACTAAACAATAATAATCTGACTTGATTTAGTATACTTTTTGATCTAACAGTTACAGCAATATTTTACAGCATGGTTTTGCCATTTCAATATGACAGTGATTGTTTCTATCTATCTATAAATAATGCATCACTTTTTTTAGTTTTTTGTACAGGTGTGCATCAGTGAAAGAAATTAATAGAAATACAGGAGAAATGCAAATTGACTGCACATCGGGCCTTGGCCTAGGCTACATGGACTACATACCTGTGTACATTTAAAAGGAAATAGAAAAACACATAAAAAATACATTTCACTTTAAACCTATTGTTGTTTCCTTGGACAAGAAATTTTACACTCATTGCTCAGTACTTGTTGGTTTCAGGAACGGATTCAAAAGAGTGCCTATAGGCTTAATAATAGGGTTATACTGTTATTAGCTTCCTACAGATCAATTCTAGTTGGGCACTGCCATTTTTAATGTAACTCAATGATAATCAGTGGGGTATTCCGATAACAGAGCAATAGCAACTTTTTGGCTTAATAATAATCTTCGAGGTATTCCGAGTGAAAACGGGAGCGGGACATGAAATACCAAGATGAAACCTTTAAAAGGGAAATATATGTAAAATAAAATATGAAGTATCATTTTAACCAGCTTCCCCATTTACAGAATTTGCCTAATTTCATATGTGTAGTTACAACCAGTATTGCAACGAGTTCATGAACAACCTTAAAGGACTTAGCAGTCTGACATCAATCCTTGTGTATCTAACTAATATAAGGGAACATCACTTCTGACTTAGTTGACTTGATTTTGAGTCATTTCGGCCCCAAGACGTATCGGCCCCAAATTATCAAAGACATTTCGGCCCCAGACGTTTCGGCCCTTTACCAAATCGGCCCCATATTTAGTTAGTAGTAATCAAAACAAACAGAACAAAACATAAACTTTATCAAACACTGAAACATTTTTTATCTGCTTATTATCAACAAGTTTTTTTTTCAAATTTGAACGATTAAAAAGCAAGACACAGAACAGTACAAACATTTATTATCAACAACTATTAAAGTAATAGTAAGTGACGAGTTTTAGCAATACAATACAACACATAACAGTTAAAAAATTATAAGATAAAACAAACAATACTTTGTAAACAGTCATTTTGTATATATAAAACAAACATTTTTACAATAAAAGTTATGGATTTTCAATCACAGCATATATTATCAAGAAATTATATCAAATCATAAGTTAAAAAATCTTTGATATTACTAACGGCTAATTAGCAATACACTATAAATAATTAATTTGTTAAACCTTGAAAAAAAAACATATATCTAAAGTGTTAGCTAAATGATTAATAGAGATCAAAAGATAATGATTTTTGAAGTATATTTGTAATTAATTTTGTTAATCAAAAAGTTTTTGCATTTGTCAACGGTTTTATAAAATAGCGATTAAGTGTCTTTATTTAGTTGTATTTATTGTTACACCTTGAAAAAAGCATTTATCTCAATAGCGATTGATAGATCATCTATAATGGATTATCAATCAAGGATTAAAATGTCATAATTGTTTGTGTGCCATCAATCAATCAATGTCTACTACAATTTTTAACGATTTTACAGTCTTCGCCTTAATTTTTTATCAGCACTAGCCCAGTCGGGCTAGCAGCTTACAAATTTTACTAGCCCAAACACATTTTAACTAGCCCGAACCAAAATGGTATTTTTTGCATACATTTTGTACAAATATAACACTTTCTATATGTTTTATATACCATTTAACATTATTAAAATATCAACTAATCAACTTTTCTTCCTTTCATTATTTAAATAAGAAGAGTTTAAACTACATATGAAAAGAAGATATTTTGATATTTCTGTGGCATTGTCCACAGACACTGAAAAAAATGTTTAAAAACTGAAAATACTCTTCTCCTCGTTTACTGTAACCATGTCGGCTGATACATGCATTGACAACATATTTATATTCCTTTTCGTATTACTTTTATAATATTTTTTTTTGGTGTGTTCCTTTTTGGCTTAGTGCCTTCAAAATACAAGAGAAAAGACATATTGTGAAGCATGAGATGACGCCTAATAAATGTCTAACAATCAACATTTCATAAGCGTTAAGTTCAATAAAGCTGCAAATAATTTTTAGGGCCAAGGTGGTTTACCCATCAAAATCTAGAGTAAAATGAAAATTCTGGGGTAAAATTTATAAAAAGAATTTGCATTGTTTTGTTATCAAATTTCATTGCCTTCTAAAAAGTTCCTTTCTTTACATAAATCAGACTGACTTATAATAAAATATTAATTCAATGTGAAATAATACAAAACTTGCTCTGTTATGGCAGGCTTCCCTAGACTAGGGTTTGTTTAGGATACACAGCAAATTAATGACAAGACTCATTTTTTTGTTGCTGACATGTTGTTGTTTGAATGTGTCACATTCTTTTACAATCAGCTACATGGTCAGCTAGTCCAACTAATTAGACTTGTCAAAGAGACACCGAGATAATTTTGGACGGGCGCTGTCTTTTTCCAAGTCCAACCACGAACTGCATTTTTATGCACGGACGCTTCCCAATTAGAAGTTGTTGGGAGCGAAAACTAGAAAAGTTTCAAAGAAACGGTCTACATTACCTGAAAGAGAATCGTTTTTTATGCAAGGTTCCAAATTATCATACTTCAAAGTCGAACAGAAGTCTAAATATTCCACTTTAATTTTTTTAATCGTTGAAAATTATTGAAAGCGGCCATATTGGAAAGCGGTGTCATGGTAAATTTGTAAACACTGGTAAAATCCATGGTGTAACACAGGTATCGGTGGCAATCGATTGTATTTGCCAAGCTTTATTATACAATTTGTTTATGTTATTTATATGAATTATTGCAGGAATAACTCTTTTATTCACACACAAATATTTCAGCATTAAAAAGAGAATGAGTAAAGGAAATTATGATAACCTTACTTAGAAATTAAATAGTTTATGATGTCCGATGTCAGATCATACTGCATTTAAGTCCGTTTAAATTTGTCAAATTAGATATTATTAAGTTGGATTTTTTTAACATCTGTGATCATTAGGTGAAATTTCTGAACTACCTTTTATATTTATAAACCCTGCCATGATTTCCCACATACGAAAAAATACAATGTAATTGTAGGTACATCTTAATGAATTATAATTATACTATACATGATGAAGCAAAAGAAGAATTTCAATTTATATTACACTCCATATCAATTTCTAGTTTATTATCTTTAAAAGAAATTGAGGACGGTTGTGTATGGGAAGAAGTTCAAAAACAACCAAAAATAACTTTTAAAACTCTGAAAAAAAAATCTTAAAATTTCTAACTATAAAATGGAATTTCAGACAGTCCTCAGTAAAATACCATTGTCGCACAGATTTGACGGGGTTTATGATAAAAACACAGCAAGCGGAAAATTAGTTGACCGTTATTTAGATGTTGAATAGCATAACAATGTAAGACAGATGGGAAAATGGTTTGGAACGACTGTCGCAAAAGGCACCCAAAACCTCTGATACCCATTAAAAAATTCCATGTTATCTAGTTCCGTTGAACGGCACCTCGAATGTGTCACATTGAAAGATCCATGATTACCGCCGTATTATGTACACATCTGTGGATGTTTGATTAAAAATTTCAACATTATTATTTTAAGTGATCAATTCTGTTTGAGGAAAAAACAGGCGAAAGGGAGCACTTGAACCTACCAGAGCCGTCTTTGCACTCCTGTGTATTTAGTGTTTCTATTTTGCCAGTTTCAGGCGTTTTTGGTGCGGTTTTTTGGAGGGTGGGATACATGAATGTGGATAAGTTTTTTTTCTGTTTCTTTACATTTTTCTGCTTGCTTTGCCGAACCTTGTATTGCATAATCATTATCTGTTTGTTACGTTCGAGTATACATGTATACAATATGATAAAACAAGGTGAACAAGGAAAGGCGGCGTTCAATGAACGCAAACCCCACAACGACCCAGGAACATGAAACCATTGGCAAGGAGCCCAGGAGATCCTAAATTAAAACGGGAGAGGGCGCAAGAGAGAGCCACGGGCAGGCTTATCACTAAAATGTACTTGAGAAGGAAATCAAAGAAAATTAATAAATGAATGATTAATAGGACCACTAAGTTAACGAGCACAGGGGAAGGGGATAGGAAATTCGGGGGAGGGGCGAAATAAAACTAGGGGCAAAGGGAAGAAAACTTACCATAGACGAGAAAACAACAAGGGACACAAACAAAAGTGTCACCAAAACAGTATGAAACAACAAGACATACACCTTATACATTTATAAGTCTCTTAATCTGTTCATTTGAAAATTCTGATCTTCTCAATGACTTTTTTTTTTAATATCCTCTACTTAAAATTTATTCAATTAAAAATATGTGACCCTTCCTTAATAGTTAGTTACACAGCATATGGCTGGATCACAATAAAATTCCTTTTTAGTAAATTAATAAAGTACGTCAAAGACATTTAACTTTATCAATAGGTTTAATTTGGTATTATATATCGGCAATCGGTGAAAAAGAGCTCTTGAAATATTATTTGTACAAATACTGAATAATTTGAAGTGTATTTCAAATAGTTTCCTTCAATATTTCTTTTACGTTCTTAATTATCATATAAATATGGCATGTATAAAATGAAGTCAGTATTTTTCCGAGAGTGACATTTGGCAGTCATTAGCAAGTAAACAAGAAGGCAAACCACCAATTGATAAATGTTGAGTATATGGATTAAAATATTTAAAAATATTAAAACGACAGTACTTGTACAGAGCCTATTTGCGACCATTGCATTTTAGGTTAAATACAATGATACTTTTCAATAGTATTTTGATAATGCACATATTTATTAAAAAATTATGAATAGATTTATTTCCCCCGATATTTCGTTTAATTTAATCTTCATCGCGTAACCCACACTTACCTGCTAGACACACTGGTAGCTACTACCAGCTTTCACGGAATCGATTTTTTACGATGACGTCATAACATGTCCGCCTAAGATATAGTAGACAGTACAAAATTGAAATAAATCGCATGTATGCGTTAAGACAGGTACAATCTACTATTTTTTCTAGGAGAAGTTTGTACTAAAATTTATATTCTATTGATCTTTAGAGGTAATTGAAGTTACTTTCAGGTTTAAGCAGTAAAAATCAGTCCAAAACTATCGATAGTGTTACCGGTAGATTTCCGTGCGTTAAAAATGACAGTTAAAATTAGGCGTAACGGTTTGACAGTAAGAAAAAAAGTCTGTAAAATGGGTCAAACCGTTCACGCCAAATTAATTAGGCTAGGGCCGAAACGTCCTGTTTAACATGTTTGTGACACTGCTGTAAAGGGAGAAGTCACTTGTGACCAATTGATCAGCTCTAAGTCGAATCATCTCAATATACTGACTGAGCTACAGTACTCAAGCTGTTGTCTATCAAGTTACAAGGGTTTATGATTCACAGTAAGGTAATTTTAATGAAGCACACTGTCGCCGGTAAACAAAGAAATCAAGGAAAATAAACTCATTTCACTTTCAAATATAAAGTTTAATTACCGTTTCAATGTTAACAAATCCAGTTAACACCAAGTTTTTTAGCAATTCACATCCAATTCCACCAGCGCCAACGACTAAAACTTTACATGAAGCGACTTTTTCTCTAACATTTTCTGCAAGAACTCCGACCATGGAGGCAGCCATTTTTAAAGGATGAGTCTAATAAAGCGATGATTTAAATATCGTCATCATCGTCGTTAGGTACGGTATATTTCCCGTAAGGATCCGTTTTTTTCAACCTGTTTAAAAATATTTCAATGGATATTTGAGCCGCGTCACGACAAAACGAACATAATGGGTTTGCGACCAGCATGGATCCAGACCAGCCTGCGCATCCGCGCAGTCTGATCACGATCCATGCTGTTCGCTATCAGTTTCTCTACTTGTTATACGGTTTGTAAGCGAACAGCATGGATCCTGATCAGACTGCGGGGATGCGCAGGCTGGTCTGGATCCATGCTGGTCGCAAATGCATAACGTTGGTTTTGTAGTGACGCGGCTCATTTGTACATGATATTTAGCATGCAAAATTAATAACACTACATAATAATATTTATGGGCACTAGAGGTTCGGGCTTGCACCTAACACATGGGGAAATGATACAGAGCTTACTGGCTATATGAAAGCATACATTTATATGGCTTAAAGAGAGGACCGGAGTTAACTTGAGCCGTTTTGCTTTGAAAATGATTGTCACCGCCCCCTTCCCTTCAAAACATTCTATTTTGGTTGTAACATTCCAGAGTTATGTTATAATTAGTTAATTTGATCTGTGTTGCACCTGTGACATACGTCAATTTATGCCCCAATGTTATAATATTTCTGAAGGTAATCATCTTAATTACTCTACTACAATTAATTCGAATATTTCTTTAATTTAAATATGTGTATTAATTTTCAAAGAATATTTAAATCTTACTGAAGAAAAAACATATTTGAAAGTATCACGTTGTTTAACATTTAATTTAAATCAAGCAATTTTGATTTTATGGTCCCCAGTGTAATTCTGTGATGATCTTTTTTGTCGAAACATACATTTTTTATAATGGAATTAAAGACTGGAATGATCTGTCAGAATATATAAAATCCATTAACAATTTTGTACAATATAAAAAAACTGTAAAAAAGTACCTACTAGAAAGTTATAAAAGGCTAGCAGAAGACGTATATGTGTACTTCTAATGTGTCAGGGACTGTGATCCAAATTTTGTTTGTGATAGAGATACTAGGTTTATCTAAAAAGGGCAAACTTTTATAAATATATTTCCTTTTTCAACCAAAATCTTGACCAAAGTTAGTTCGATTAGTTTTATTTGTTTCGTTTTCCTGTTTTTTAGGGGGAAAGGGTCTTCTTCTTCCAATAATGTACATAACCCACTCTGGGGCATTGACGTAGTGTATGTACAAAGTGTTGTGCGGCGAATAAGTGCATATCTAAAAGAAGAACATGTTAAAAATAAAATCGACTCCGGCATATTAGGGCCCCATGACTAGTCCTCCCTTGAATGCCTCAAGGTTGACTGCTGTGGCTAGGTGCTCTGGAAGCTGGTTCCACAGGCGGATGGCCGAAGGTACAAAGGAGAACTTCATGGTGTCTGTTCTGCAGAATGGGACATGGAATCTGTGTCCGTAGCCATGGCCACCAAGTGTCAGGGGGGTGGAAGTACTGTGCAGCGTAATTATGTATTTTTTATTTCTATGGACCCCATTGGAAATAAGCTTTTAGCTTAATTGGCTATTATTATTTTATCTTATTATTTTTTATGATAAAAGTGTGCTCTCTTGTGCTGTTTTATGATCTCATTTTATATATATATATCTATATGTTTTTTCTAAACTGATTTTTATTTGTATCATGCGCTATGTTCCTGAATGTCATAAATTAAGTCGTACAGATAAAGTACGGTACTATCGAACGGATGAAGTTCGGGATTTCAAGCGCCTACCGACATGATTGAATTTTTAATGAAAACATTTGGAAAAGTAAATTATCTTAGTTTTAATAGATTCTAACATTAGTTACATACTTTCTTTATGAATAATCATTATATCTAAATAATTACTAATATATTTTAACAGTTAAATTAGTTAATAATTATTTCATATATTTGTGACATAGTGTCTGGACATGACTAGCTGAATTCGTTCAGAAACAGACTTAATAAGGGTCCTACTAAACACTGCTAAGGACTGCTAAGGAACCACAAAGGACTACTAGGGAGGCACAAAGGACTTTAAAATACCTCCTATGGCATTCTTATAATATATGGTAGTATGTTTAATGATAAAAAATGTATAATTTTAAGAAAAAAAATATATAATTTTGGTGATAGAATTTAGGAAGTTCATAACACACTGTATTGTCTAGTCGTATGGCACAGGGGCGGATACAGAACATGGTTTCCTGGGGGAGCTGACATATGGGTGGAGACAGAAATAATGCTAAAGACAAAAATAGCGCTTGTCATATTATGAGTGGCAATGTACTTTGTTTATATATGTGTACACCAATATGTTTTTGTAAATTTTTAGATGATTTGTAATTAAGATAATATATGTAAACTGAGAAATTTTGAAATGTGAGGTTGAAAATGGTGTTATTTCCTTGACTTTCTAGTGCTGTTTATGGTACTTTTTGGATGGTTTAACATCACATTGTATTTTGTATAGGTTAGTGCAGGGTCTTTTAAACAGAATTGTCCTGGTGTTTAATAGTGAGCATTTACAAAATAACAGCTCACATACCAATGTATATCCGATCGTTGATAAAATTAATTTCAAACAAAAAATATCAATTTACTCATCTTAATAATAGATAATTTTCCTTAATGAAGTGTTCATAAATAACTGCCTTTCTTTTGTACAAAAAAAAATCTCAAACACTAATATTCAATAAGATTTTTTTTTCCATCAATGAATCCATTTTAGATTAATGACTAAAGAGGTCAGTACAATTTAAATTTTATTCAAAAAATATAACTGCCAGAAAAAGTTAATAAAAGCAAATGACCAGTCAATTCATCTGTATAAAAATCTTATTAAAACGTGATTCCTTTTATATTATCTTTATGAAACTCACCACCTTTTTAATTTACAAATCATAATTTTCAATTTCTTAATTATAAGGCTTTCCCTAATAAAATGGAAAAACAAAGATATTTAAATATTGTGAATGTGTACTATGTAACACATCTATTTGCCACTATTTGTGACTATTAATTTCATTAGACCTTTGGAAAGTAATAAACCAATCAATTATGCAGTTTAAACATTGAAGTCATTCAAGCATGTTGATAGATAAAGATCTCTGCCAATTTAAGCCCCAAGGCAATTAAGAGATTAACAACTGGATGACAGCAATTAATGTTTTGATAAGGGAGTACACTACAGCCAATAAAGTTTGAAACTGACAAAAATATATTCCAGCCCAGCTGCCGCAGGGTTGTCATTAAGAGGCGGCAGGAGGCCAAAATGCCTGTCTCAAATGCATTATGGGCCGCCTCAAAATTAAGAAAACACTCTTTGTTATGCATGATAAAGACAGAAATGACCGCCTCAAGTTCAAAACAAACCTTCTGCAAAAAATGTTAATGACAACCCTGAGCTGGTAAACATATCTTTGGGCCAAGCTGGGGGGGGTGGGGTGGGGGGCTGAAGCCCGGGCCTGAATCCGCCATTGTGGCACATTACAAAATTATATGAAAGTCCAAAATGCATATGTTATTTTGTGTCTTGAAACAAGGATTTTAAAAAACAAGGATTTTAACCAAGAAACAGCAGTTGTCTTCGTATGTTAACTTTTTAGAGATGAATGGCAATGCTTGGTAAAGAAAGTATGAATATCGATTGTTGTCATCTCCAGATGCTGGGAAGAAAGATCAATTAGTTGCAGTTGAATAACATGAATTGAAATTGTTTACATAATTATCCTTTAAAATAATAAAAAAAAACACATAAACACACAATAAATGTATAATTTTAAGGAAAAATATAATTTTGGTGATAGAATTTATGCTTTCGATGAGTTGCAGGACTGCAAAGTAGTTAACCTGTAGTCCTGAAAGTTTACAAGAATTTTGGTCAGCATGTGTATTTATTAAAATTATGCACCTGGGGGTTTGCTTGTGGATTTATTTAGTATTTGTAGAGCTATCATACATGTGAACTTTTTTTGATGATCAAGTGGGAGATTTTTTTTCAAAAAGATGGAGATTTTAGAATTTGCAATAAACAAAGAAAAAAGTTCTGACATTTAGTCTCCCGCTAAAAGTAGGAGAGTTCACGTGTATGACTATGAGTTATTTCCCTGGTTGACTTAAAAAAAAAAGATTTGCAATTTTCAACTTGTGTTGCATGTAGCCCAAAAAATATTTGACCTGAAGTCAGTAGATTGACAAAACAGTCCATGTCCAATGTCCATGTCCAATGTCCATGTCTAGTTTTCTTTAAGTTATGTAAGTAATTGATTGTTCATGGAAAGTACCTGGTCATGCTGGTAGAATATAAAAATAAAAACAGTTCAATATAAATACATTTTGACTTTTACTGTACACTGAACATTTATATTTGGTTGGGCATAATGTCATAAATATTAGTGTGCAGGGATTTGTTTGGGCTTATTTTATAGCTGATACACCGTAGCCTTGATATATCGCTTTTCGTTATAACGCTAATCTCAGTATAGCGCTCATAGACCTTGGCTCCCAAAAAAAAAAAAAAAAAAATGAGCGTTATAATGAGGCTATAGTGTATATTCCGGTCATATTCCCAATTGAAAATACAGTAGAACTTCCGTAAGTCGAAGTTGGAGGGACTTGTGTAAAAACTTCGACACATCGGGACTTTGACTCATGAATTGCTCTCAATTCCATTACAAAATTTCGACCTGTGACTAGTCATTATTATAAGATCTATAACGAAACCTATTTCATGTTTTTTCCATCATTAATCTGATATTTTTACATTTTACAATGATAAATATAGCATGTTAAATAACTTTTTTCACGGCTAATTATTTGGACTACCCATTGACGTATACAATAGAGTTACAAAGGGCGTAACAATACGAAAGGGCAATAACTAAACCAGTTTATAGTAAATATTTCGCGTGTTATTCTCACGTTATTCTCAAATACCACTATGGCAATTAAAATTATAACGATTAAAGCATTTTATCACACATTTTATCGCTAACAAAGGCTGTTTGAACACACGGCTGTGTTATTAACACCTGTCACACAAGTTGATTGAAAATCGTCTTCGCAGCCAGATAAGGTGTGAAAAATGTCTCGAGATCGAAGGTGTCAAAATAATCGAACAACTTCGACTTATTTGTGGTAAATTGCACTAGATTTACTTTATATGGACCACGAAAAAACTTCGACACATCGAAAAATTTCGACACATAAAATCTCGACTCATAAATAGGTTTTTATAAGGAATATACAGGGGGAAAATCGGGACTTTCATTTTTCTTCGACACATCGAGAAAATCGACTAATCGAAATTCGACTCATAGAAGTTCTACTGTAGTATATTATTTTCCCAATACACAGGAAAAATTCCCCATTGAAAGTTATTTTATAACTTTTATTGAATAACAAATTCTAAGATGTTTAAAACAAAGGGCTTCTTCACTGTTACAGTGTTTAAATGATTGAAGATGCCATTTTAGACAGTGATTCTTTGCATTCATTTAATCACTGCAAAATTTAAGTCATGCATTTTTTCTCAATCTCTAACAAAACATCACTGAAATTCCCAATTCCATGGGTATGGGTCATGTTCCCAAAATCCTGGAAAAAATCCTGGTGTGGTTATTTATTATATATTTTTCTCAACATGTTAATGCTGCAATTTTATGTTAATGCTTTGTTATTGAACCAGATGTCTGTATTTCTCTATTACATTAGTGAAATATTTCCAATACAAACACCAATTAAGAATATATAATAATAATGATAAAGACTTTATTTAACGAGGCTACATATTCACCAAAACGATCTTCCATATGTACCTCAACATATTTACAACATATTTACATCAAATAATTTTACAAAAGACAATGTAATATTATAAAACATAGTATTAACTAGTTATAAATGTAATGACAAACTAAACATAATTTATTATATTAACCATTAACAATGAAAACTGCAGTAAACATAATTATATAAACATAATACTATGGTACTGGTTTAACCAGAGTATTTCCACTTTATGTAAGCTTTTTTGAATTTTTCAGTACTTTCAGACTGACGGACATAGAGTGGTATATTATTCCAGTCTATGTCCGTCAGTCTGAAAGTACTGAAAAATTCAAAAAAGCTTACATAAAGTGGAAGTACCTGTTACATGTATTAAAAAAAGTATAATTTGAATATTAATTATTGTAAACAATTTAGGAGACAAAAACAAGTGTTCTGTAAAATTATTTTTAAACATTGCATATAATGATTCAAGATTATTAGGATAAGTTTTAAACTTGTTAGTCCTGACATTGTCAATTTGTTTGGTTTAAACATATATATTTATTTTTTATCAAGTTACATTTCTAAGAGATTTACACAACATACAGAAATTTAATACGATAATAAAATGGATTGAACATTTAGTTTGTTTGTTTCCAGAAGTGACATGGCATAGTCTTAGAGAGATAACATCATGTCGTCGGAGGATTGGAAAGGCAGCACTGCTAGATGCCTACAGAATGGTATCTTCAAAAGTTACACAGCTGGTCTATACACTGATGTTGAACTTCAAGTGGAAAAGAAAACTTTCAAATGTCACAAAGTGATTTTATCAGCATTCTCTGATTATTTTCACGCCATGTTTTCAAGTGGTATGCAGGAGTGTCAGAACAATGTTGTCTGTATAAAAGACATAAGTTCACTTATCTTTGAAAATGTCCTGTCTTTCGCATATTCAGGGGAAGATTGTGTAACGATAGATAATGCGGAGGATTTACTACGAGCATCGGTACTGTTACAAATACAATGTTTGCAAGAACGATGTGAAAGTTTCCTGTTAGAACAGACAACTGCGGAAAATTGTATCGGAATATGGCGACTTGCCCAGAGTCTAAGCTGCGAACAGCTTAAAGAGACATCCTGGGAGTTTATACTTAAAGAATTTGAAGTAATTTCGCAACTTGATGAATTCCTTGCGCTGGAAAAAGACGAACTCATATCGATAATTTCAAATGACAGTTTGACGGTGTCTAACGAAGAGATTGTATGTGATGCATTATTTCGATGGCTAGAGAAAGATGAAGACAGGATCTCGTACCTTGCCGACGTGTTTGATCAACTTCGTCTACAGCAAGTCAGTCTTCAGTATCTACTAGAGAAGGTGGACTTTAACCCGGCTGTAAGAAACAATTCTACATGTACTGGTCTGGTGAAGCAAGCACTCGACTATCATCTTTATCCTGAAAGGAGGGAACTGTATAATATACCACTTCGATCTGGAACCAAAATGGAGGTATAACTTATTTTTGTTATCTTTATGTTTTTGCTGTTGTCATTGCAATGGACTTCAAAAAGTGCTGTTTGGTAATAAAGACTAGAGACCAAGTTTGTATGATTTAAAAATCATCTATAACTTCATTTAACAGCATTTAAAAGTATTCTATAATGCATGATAATCTAATTGTTTTGTCTCCAAAATGCTAATATAGTTAATCTTAATATCTGTTCGAGAAATTTCTTTACCTTTCATTAGCTTCTATGGTGAATTCTTATGAATTCTTATTTTAAATTACGAAATTTCTTTGCCTTTTACACTAGGCAGCCTGTTAACATTTTAATAATTTGTTTCATAGGCATAAAATAACTTTTTAAATTCATAATTATAGAGTAGAAATATTTTTTCTGTAAATATTTACAAATTATGGATTTTATTTTGAACAATATTAGTCTGTTTTGATGTTCTCTAGAGTATGAAAGAAGATTTCAGATATTATAAATTTGATATAACAATTAACGTTGAGTGCAAAATTCTGTTTTTTTTTCAGGTTATTGTGTTGATAGGCAAAACTCCACAAGGACGTGAGCAGAAACTAATTGAGGTTTACTGTTACAGTCCGATGGAGAGAAAGTGGTACACGATGCCGACCCTGCCGAGTAACATAGGTCGATACTTCTCATGTTGCGTGTATGGTGACTATATATATGTATCTGGCGGTACTGAACGACCCATTGCCTGTTTGAAGCTGCATATAGGACGACGTGACTGGATTCATTGCAGATCTATGAACTTCGGGCGACTTCGGCACGCTATGGTAGCTGAGAGAAATGCTGTGTATGTTGTTGGAGGTTTCGATCCCATAACTGACGTTACCTATCACAGTATTGAGAAGTACGATATAGCTCAGGAGACATGGAAGGAGGTAGGGGAACTCACTTGTGCTGTTGATGCTCTTTCCGCAGCTGCGTATAAAGGTAAAATATTTGTGTTCGGAGGTTGGTTAAAAGATTGTGATCATGCTGCCTGCGTGCAATGTTTCGATACAACAACAAACGAGTGTACAATCATAGACTGTCTACCTGAACCTGCGAAATTTTCACGATGTGTACAGGATATTGACGGTAATGTTTATATAATGTACCCAACAGGGGAGGTAATCAGATATAACACTGATACTAAAGAAGCCGAAAGATATGCAAAAATATCAGGGTTTAAACGCTACAACTTTGGACTTACCCTCTTTCATAATAAACTTTTTGCTTTCGGTGGTGAAAGTGATGATCCAACAGTAGAGGAAGGGACCGAACTCTGCAGGAACTTATTTGAGCTTGATTTGTCATCAAGAACGTCGAAGATGTACTCAGATCTGATGCCAAATCCTTTTGAATCATATGGCTCAGTTAGAGTTGTAGTTAACAGGGATTTTTTGATAGCGTACAAGAAAGAAAATGGACCAAAACAATAAACTGAAAAGAAAGAAAGACATATTTTTGTTTGAAAGCATATCCATAATGCAATTCAATATTCAATGTTGTGTGGATCATTTTGTATTAAAGCTTCTTTTAGAACCTTGCATATAACATTATCAAGGCATTGAAGACCTACATGTATAATAATAATAATATCTTTATTTAGAAAAGGTAACACATTAAGAATATACAACAGCATACCATATATATGTTATTTCAAATGTATAATAATTGCAAGTAATCAGAATGATGGTACTATGAACCAATGTAAAATTTACCATGAAAGCAATATTTTGAATGTGGTAAACTTTATTTTCAAAACTTTGACCCCAAAAAAAAAGAGATACAGAATGTCCAACAAATATTGCTTGTGTGTTTTTTTATAAGAGAAATTTTGTATTTATTTACTTGCCTAGATAAAACAGACTTTTATTCACGAGTCAGTTGTAACCTAGAGTGAATTGTTGGGACTTTGACCTTTAGGATTTTAAACAACCACCCTGCAGAGATAGTTGGGAGTAAAATCCAAAGTAATTGCACTGCACTTAGAAGGATGGTGTTACAGGGATAACTATAGACTAACTTGTGCATTAAAAACATGTGTGTTCCTTTGGTAGAAAGTGATTAGATCATATTCTTTACAGGCCCATTATGCCTCAGGAGTTCTATCATTTTTATTTCTCAAAAACTGTTAACATTTGGTATCTTGTTACAGTTTCCAAAAACATACTTTATTCCTACATATGATTATATAAATAAATTTTTGCATCTTTAGTTCTGTTCGCATTTGGAACTAGTATTTTGTATGGAAGTCAAAATACTACATGTACTTTGTTTACATTTTATTACCTTTACTGCGCCTTTTTTATGCCCCCGCCATGTAATGGCCGGGGCATATAGTGTTACCCTGTTCCGTCCTTCCGTCCTTCCATCATTCTGTCATTCCGTCATCATCAGTTTCCGTTCATTATCTTAAGAACGGTTGCACACATTCAACTCAAACTTGACATATGAATATGTCATGACAAAATACAGGTCAAGTTCGAATTTGGTCATGGTTCAATGATTTTTGGCAGAGTTATGCCCCTTTTACTTTGAAAATAATATGAAATTTCAGTTTCCGTTCATTATCTCCCCAACCGTACAACACATTCAACTCAAACTTGACATATGGATATGTCATTAGAAAATACAGGCCATGTTCGAATTTGGTCATGGTTCGATGATTTTTGGCAGAGTTATGCCCCTTTTACTTTGAAAATAATGTGAATTTTCAGTTTCCGTTCACTATCTCCCCAACGGTACAACACATTCAACTCAAACTTGACATATGGATATGTCATGACAAAATACAGGTCAAGTTCGAATTTGGTCATGGTTCGATGATTTTTGGCAGAGTTATGCCCCTTTTACTTTGAAAATAATATGAAATTTTCAGTTTCCGTTTATTATCTCCCCAACGGTACAACACATTCAACTCAAACTTGACATATGGATATGTCATTAGAAAATACAGGCCAAGTTCAAATTTTGTCATGGTTAGATGATTTTTGGCAGAGTTATGCCCCTTTTACTTTGAAAATAATGTGAAATTTTCAGTTTCCGTTCATTATCTCCCCAACAGTACAACACATTCAACTCAAACTTGACATATGGATGCGTCAAAAGAATGCGCAGGTCATGTTCAAATTTGGTCATGGTTCAATGATTTTTGGCAGAGTTATGCCCCTTTCACTTTGAAAGTAATATGAAATTTACAGTTTCTGTTCATTATCTACCCAACAGTGTTACGTATTCAACTTAAATTTGACTTATGGATATGTCAAAGGGATGGGCAGGTCAAGTTGAAATTTGGTCATGGTTTGATGATTTTTTTTGCAGAGTTATGTCCCTTTCACTTTGAAAATAATATAGATACATCTTAGGAATAAGCAGTTTAAGTATGAATTTGGTTGTGGTTCAATGATTTTAGACAAACTTATCTTTCCTGAATGTTGGAAAAATTTTGTACCTTCAGTTTCAGCACTCATACTTTTAGCCATTATTTTGGCTACAAATATGAAATATGTTATTTTTAAAAGGTTAAGACTGAATAATTTCAGTGTCTTGAACATTGTATGAAAATGGTTTGTGTTAACATTTTAAAGTTTTAAGGGCTTTGAACTTAAAATGAAAAAAATAATTAATGCACCATCTGAAATTTTGGCTGCATGCGGGGGCATCCGTGGCATGATGACACATTTCTAGTTTCAATTGTAAAACATCCAATATGCACTTAATCCATTATTTAGATATTATAATTAAACACGTTTGACATTTTTAAAGAATTAAAAAGAAGGATTTCTGAGGCATGATGTGCCAGAGTTTTCAAGAGTGTAAATGCATCACTCAACAACTATCTGACACAACTATTATCATTTCATTATAAAATTTGTTATATTTGCATTATAATATAAAAAATGCATTACTAAATGTCAAGATCTCAGTTTATAAAGTATTGTTAGGAAACAGAAAGAAAAACTTAAAAAAAAAGATTTGTATGTTTCTTTATTGTTTCAACATCATTTACCTGTATATTGTTAAAAACTTATATTTTGAGTGTTGGCTAGAATTCTTGATACTGTGCATACATGTATTCATTGTTTTATATTAATATACGTTGTACATGGAAGGAAAATGATCTGATATTTTGTACTTGTAGCTTTAGTTAATGTCCAGGTATCTTTTTTTCTCCAATGAGAAATCTCTTGCAGGGATACATGTAAGTCAATAAGTGTTTCAAATAAGTAACTAAGCCAATTAAAAAGTTAAAGATTATATAAAACATTTAGAATGTTTTTCATGGAAAAAAGCAACCAAAAATTAACAACAGTTGCCGGACATACTCTTCAGAGTATCAAGCCAGTGATTAAGACTAGATTTTTTGAGAAAACTACATCAGTTGGGTGTAGAATAGATGTCGCCAATAATTTGCATGTATATGGGAAATTTTCACAAGAAATAGTATAAGAATAAATCGCTAACAAAATGTCATTTCTATATTTAGAAAACATAATTACTAATGATTGAACATGCTTCCTGTTTTGAATTTTTCTATTTCTAGGTCACAACATCTGAATCGGATACAATTTGTTTACCCACTGTGATACTATTGTCTACATTTAAAATAAATTATGGTGTGATTTTCATTACTTATAACCTAAGTTTTGTTTATACCTCTTAGTTTGTTTGATGCATTGTATGTTGGAATTTAAGAAACTTGTTAAGCATCCATGTTGAATTGTGTTGAATTCAGGTAAATAAGTCTTGGGGAAAGTGAAAGACAGCCAATTGATAAGTGAAATTTGACTTATATTAGGGTTTTTTATACTGCATGTACAAACACCACTTCTGTTTAAAATTGCTACCAAATTTTTTAAAGAAAAAAGTCTATAATGTCTTTTATTTTCTTTTTATTTGTAATTAAATTTCAGAAAATTTGCATTTGCAAAATATGAAAATATATAAGTATTTGATGCAGGTTTTATTAGATATGACATTTGATGTTGAATTGATGTTTTGCACAGTTGTGTTTGTAGGCTACAGACAAATCATGATGTAGCATTCAGGTTGTTTTATTTTGTTGTTTTCTTTTTAATTAGTTACACTTTTGTTCTGCCATTCAAGTTTTTTTACTGGAACATCCCATCTCACCAGGCCAAACACCACTATAATTTGGTTAGGGCAATGACCACTACATTATTTGTTAAATTTCATGCTAATAATGTTACATAATTATTTTCAAAAGTTGTTGAATTACAATTAATTCTTATTATTGTAATTTTTTGATCGGTATTATTGTAATTATCATCATCCAACATTACTGATGATGGTAATAACAATTTACTAGATATTAAATGTTATTTTCTCTAAAGAGTGACTACTTCACATGACTGCTCATATTTACTGTGGTTTACTGATTTAATTAGAAATTTATCAATGTATAATTTTGCAGGATAACACACATATAAAGTTTCTAACATGTGGTAAATTAAATTCTGATATATGTACATATATATGCATTAGTAAATGATCACAACAAATAGCTATGTGATTTATTATTAAGTGTTATAGTTATATTTGCATTGTTTATGATTAAGAGCCTCTACTAACCTTGTACAAGGAACTAAGCATATTTATTCATGTTAACAGGAAATGTGTGTAACTTGTCTTGACAGAATACCTACTTACTAGAAAATAAAATCATGAGTAAATACTTGGATAAATTACAGTATTGCAATAATAGATTTAAGGAAGTTATTTATTGTTAATCTTTTATCTGGTGAATTTATTAAATGGATTTGTCCAACTTCCATTTTGGCACAGTCCATTATCAAATTTGAGGATATTAAGATGAAAATAATAAGTTGCTAAGCCACCAGTATAAACCTTGATCAGACTGTCCTGATATGCAGGCTGGTCTGGCTCTATACTGGTGGCAATTTAGGCTCCTCACTTTCTGTTCCAGCAGTGGAAGAGTTAAAAATTAATATGTGCTTTGCTAAATTTGTATAAATGAGTTTGTCCTGCTTTTAACTTTAAAACAGTTCATTGTCACTATGAAGGATTTTCATATCAAAATTCTAAAATTGAGTGCAAAAGAATTTATAGAACCTGGGTCCCAGGTTATATAGACATATTCCAAGCTTAAACTCAGATCTTGGGTATATATGATTGGTTAGAAACTGGCACAGAATGTGCACTGACCAATGAAAATCCAGAGATCCTCGACGAATCTCAGAAAGAGATTACATGTATAACTTTAAGGACGGAACAGATTTGCAAGCTAACCTGGCTGTATGTTGATGGGGCAGGGTGGTGATTATTGCCCCTAGCAATAAAGGGATTATCACGTTGTTAACAGATCAAGCAAACTGTGATATTGAAATTAATAACACAAAATAAATTACAAAGTTTTGTAATGGGATTGAAAATTGTATGTTACAAGAACAGGGAACAAATTACAGGAAAATCAAACTTTTTTCATGAAAAAATACATAACCTTACAGATGTTTGTTATTGAAGTTTGTCTGCTTTCTTTATATTACACGGAACAAAATTGACAATTTTTTTCAAAACATTTCTTCTCTGTTTAATTGTAATTAATGGGTAATGTTTCTAAACCTTATTATTATTCTTAAGTCAGTTTGAATACAATTTACGAAACTAAGCTTTTCTTTTTTTTTACCATGAAGCTGTATAGTTTATTTTACAATAATTATTTTAGTTGCTCCCACATTAATTATGCAACTTAAAGCACAACATTTAGATCATGTACTGGAGGATATTGATACTGTGTTTTGATGTGGAGTTAACAAAACGTTCAACAGTGAAGGCTTAGAAAGGGATAAAGTAGTTTATATAAATGGATATTTATGTCATTTTTTTAATTTTCTATGCTAAAATAGTTAAGCAATTATTTTCCTTATAAAGATGTGTTGTTTTTTTTTGTATTATCAGTTTTGTATTATTAAAATTAGATACTTTTGTTATAGAAATTTATTTCTTGTGTTGCAAAATAAAACATTTAAAATTGATAGATATTTTTCCATTTGTTTGTCTAATTTGAGCTTAGTGCACCCAGCATATGTGCCATTCTTCATTTCGTCACCTTTGGGCAGTAATGGGTTGAGTCCTTCTAAATTTTATAAGAGTTAACCAATAATTTTACTAGGAAAATGGACAAAAGCCTTCCCGTCCAAAAATGACAAGACTGACAAAAGCCCTCGGGGTGAAAATGACTGGACGAACAAAAGCCTCTTCGTGAAATTAACAAGGCTGACAAAAGCCCTCCCGTACAAAAACATATATGTATTTTAAATACATGCTTTTTTTCCAATGCACTCAACATATTAAAATTGTAACATATATATTTGTTGTTGTTTTCAATTGGCCCAAGTTTGTGTATGAGCTAGTTGTACTAAGGTGACGATTTGTAATTTAACATTTCTAAGAATAGTGAGGCTTTCCAACTCACACTTTCAACAGCACTAGCATAATACTTGAGTTTTGCTCACATCTTCATATCTAATTTACCACTGAAAGTTTTCTCTTCAAAATTTGCTCATGTCTGTGTATTGTACGTTACTCTAACCTCAATCCTGCTGTAACCGAAAAAGACAAACATTACTCACCAGTAATCTGCAGTTTGACCAGGCTCTATACTGTAAATACTATAAATCAGTTATTGTATTTTGATATTGATGAGTTTGTCGTGCTTTTAACTTAAAACAGTTCATTGTCACTATGAAGGATTTTCATATCTAAATTCTAAAATTGTGTGCAAAAGAATTAATATAACCTGGGTCCCAGGTTATATAGACATATTCCAAGCTTAACCTTTTACCCCATGAGCATATTGCGAAAAATGGCCGTTTTCATTGAAAAGCCTCCTGTAACAAGTTCAAACTGCTATGAAACTGTGAAAAATGCTTCAATACTAATGAAACTTGGCACCAATGTTGACTACACCATAGCCTCTGTAACAGCATGCTAAATGGTAAATTTCCTGTTACCATGGCAACGGGGGGACGTCTCAAAATTGCCAAAAATCAATATTTTGCATTGTTTTTTCCCATCAAAACTGATTTCAAAGTGCTGCAACTTCTCAATGAATTGAGATAGAGTAAAAGGCTTTTCAGCGTCGGTTACTAGTTACCCTAAGATCGACCTGAGGTCATTTTTAGCCTGTCACATGTCCAAAATTTTCTTGGAGATGAGGGGGACTCCGCCCCCTTCAAACCCCCCAAACAGAAGGGGGCACATCCCCCTTCTGGCAACCCCCTGATGTAATATTTGGATGGGGGACGGCGCCGAAAAAGTGGTCACATTTTTAAACTACATTTCTCAAACGAAAAACAGTGTTTTGGGCCTAAATATGGCATTTTTTCACTGTTTAAGGCCTCAAAAAGGGGGGGGGGGGCAAAAAGCCGTCGAAACACGCTTATATAAGGGAAAAGGTTAAACTCAGATCTTGGGTATATATGATTGGTTAGAAACTGGCACAGAATGTGCACTGACCAATGAAAATCCAGAGATCCTCGACGAATCTCAGAAAGAGATTACATGTATAACTTTAAGGACAGAACAGATTTGCAAGCTAACCTGGCTGGCTGTATGTTGGTGGGGCAGGATGGTGATTATTGCCCCTAGCAATAAATGGATTATCATGATGTAAACAGATTAAGCAAACTGTGATATTGAAATTAATAACACAAAATAAATTACAAAGTTTTGTAATGGGATTGAAAATTGTATGCTACAAGAACAGGGAACAAATTACAAGAAAATCAAACTTTTTTCATGAAAAAATACATAACCTTACAGATATTTGTTATCGAAGTTTGTCTGCTTTCTTTATACTAGACAGAACAAGATTGTCAATCTTTTTCAAAACATTTCTTCTCTGTTTATTAGTAAATAATGGGTAATGTTTCTAAACCTTATTACTATTCTTAAGTCAGTTTGAATACAATTTACGAAACTAAGCTTTTCTTTTTTTAACCATGAAGCTGTATAGTTTATTTTACAACAATTATTCTAGTTGCTCCCACATTAATTATGCAACTTACAGCACAACAAAGTAGTTGATATAAATGGATATTTATGTCATTATTTGAATTTCCTATGCTTTTCTAAATAAAATAGTTATTTGAGCAGTTATTATTTTCTTTACAAAGATGTGTTGTTTTTAGCTCGACTTTTTTTTTTGAAAAAAAAAGTAGAGGTATTGTTATAGTCGGGTCGGCGTTGCCGTTGCCGTTCCCGTCCGCAAACTTGTACCTGGATCATAACTTTTTTATTTCTTGGTGTATTGTCTTCATACTTGGCCACAACAACCCTTTGGACAAGACCTTTCAGTAGACCACACTAACCTTGACCTTCATCCATAAATGACCTTGACCTTCAAGGTTAAAAGTCCAATTTTTGCTTGTTCATGCTGTTATTGGCTGTAACTTTGTTATTTTTGAATGGATTGTCTTCAAACTTGAACATAATAATCTTCAAGGATATCCCTTAAAAATAACCAGCCAGACCTTGACCTTCACTCATAAATGACCTTGACTTTGAAGGTCAAATTATTGAATTTTTCATTTTTTTGGCTGTAGTCTTTTATCAAGTTTGCTCATATTAACTTGATTAGCCCCGTTTAAGCTAAAGCTTAAATGCCCCAGGTCATGGCATTTCTTCAAATTACTGTTTAAACATATTCTTGCTCAAATTTAATATTAGTATATATTGACATTCCAACAGTGAAAAGCAGTTGTTTCTGGTGAGCAACTCAGGGCCATCATGGCCCTCTTGTTACCATTTACTAGTTTACTCTAGAAAGTTCACATTTTGTGAGTAATATCATTTTCAATAGGAAACGCACCTTATTCTCCCAGGACCATCACCGAAGGAGTTGACATCTTACGTTTAAGTATATATTTATTAAATTTCAATTTTAACTGAGAAATAATAAAATTATTTTTATATTCCTTCATCTCCGACCCATACAATAATACAATAATATTATTGCTTTAACCATACTGTCAAACAACTGTAACTGAATATCAATTGGCTAACCCAGTTGTTGTTTTTTATTTTAAGTTAAAATATTAAACATACCCTTCCTAGCTTGATCTGTCAAGTGTGTGGGTTTTTTTTTTATTAGATTTACCATTAAAGTAAAATATCACACATAAATAACTAAAATCATCTTATTTAAAAGCTTCTAGAGGCGCATTATTGGAATAAAATACAGGCCTTTGTCTAAATTAACAACGAGAAAAATACAACAACTTTTGTTTTATCAGTGTTAACAGTCAAGTGCCACAATTTACAATAATCAAGAATGCATTTAAGTATTGTTTAAAGGCCGGTTTGACTTTCCGCAAAAAACAACTGTATCATCGGCATTTAGTAACAGGCACAACTTCAAGAATACATGCACTTCATCATATATATATTACCTAGCTGTTCATTTACCTGGTCTGATAAAAACTGCAACCCTTCACAATAGAAGACAAACAAATAAATCCTTAAATTATTGAGGAAAATTGAAAACAAAATTGGAGAAAGATTTTCTCCTTGACGCACGCATAAATAGCTGACAAATGTATCTGACAATGCATTATGTTTTTGTTTCCTTTGTTCTCGAAAAAGAGTGAATTGCTCATGCACGTGGAATCCTATTCAAAATGTAATACAAGATCATGTACTTGCCACCAATTCCGTGTATAATTCTTTCGTGGTTTGTTGTTATGTCTAATATTATATATTATATATATTATGTCTAATAAAGTACTGGGTGAAAATTTTAAAACTTCCAGATAACTCATTAGTTAAAAAAACGTACATTTTTCTTAAGTCAGATGTTGAAAACGGGGTAGATTATAGAGGAAAAAATTGGGCCGGCCAAGTAAAAAGTATACTGGAAACACATGGATTAAGTTACATTTGGGACCAACAAGAATTTGTTGATATTCCATTCCAAATGATTAAGCAACGTATCTTTGACGCGTACTTACAACGCTGGTATAGCGATATAAATAATTCCACGCGTTTGGAGTCTTAATGCATATTCAAACATAGTTTTAAAGTCGAACCATATTTTAATTGTTCTTTAGAGCCAAAATACAAAATAGCCCTCTCAAAATTTAGAACCTCCTCCCACAACTTGTTTATCGAAACAGGTCGCTATGACAACACGCTGCGTGAACGACGTATTTGTAAATCGTGCACAATGAATGTAGTGGAAAATGAGTTTCACTTTTTACTTGCCTGTCCTAATTACCGCGAACTCCGAAAAAAATATCTTAAACCATATTTCTGCCGATGGCCAACAATAAATAAGTTTGAACTTCTAATGAATTCTAAATCAACAAAATCTATTTCCCAACTAGCAAAATTCGTTTTCTTTGCAGATAAAATCCGCGTTTCGTAGACACCTGAAGAAAATAACTCACAAAAAATTGTATTTGTTTCAAGACTTTGTAAAATATCTAACACAAAATTATATTTGTTAAAACAATTTGTATGCTTTTTTCTCTTTTGGATATGTTTTCATTTGCCAATGTATATATTTGTATGTGCTATAAGCATTGTAAAATGTTTAATGCAATAAAGATATTGAATTGAATTGAATATTAGATACTATCAACGTAATTATTCATTTTACTACATACCAAGTCACTTTGATCTCACATTTGATTCAAAGTGTTTCCACAATGTCTCACAATATTCAAGAGTTGTTTGTTATTTTTATTCAATGTTAGTATGGTGCATTTAGCAATGTTTATTTTAAACGTAATATTCTATAATAGAGTACACTTCAAATGAGACTGTCATCAGTTTGCCGCTGAGATTGTAACCGGTATTGATCAGGCAATTGCTTTTGTCATCTATGGTGACCTATTGCAGAAAATGAAAATAAGTTGTTGAGTTTAAAATAAACAGAGTTAAAAGCGGCCTTTAGCTTGTTATCTAAGTAAAGTTTAAATATGTTGTATTTTTTAAATAAATTGTTTCATAATTATATAATTGTTAAACAAAA